CCTGGTCAAGAAGTATGGGGGGGTGTGTTTCTAGGGAAGATAGAATGCTGGCGTATTATGGAAGTGGATCTCATAGGCTATCTGGACAGAAGTTTGTGAATCAGGAATTGCTGTACTCCTGATATTTAGACCCCTACCTTTCTCTGCTCATCTTCTTCAGTGGGTACCAATTGCTCATTGTACTTTATCTCACAGTGAATCTCAAATTCAATTAGAAATATTGAATTAAATAGCTTCATTTATTCCTAAATTTCATTTATCAGAAGAATGAATTTCTTCTTTATTCATTTGAGCTAATTTGCTGTTGATCCCAAAAGGATTACATCATTCTTAAAAATACAGCTGTGAAAAGTTTAAATGTCTTCAGTATAGTAACTCATAGCTATACGTCTTCAATATATTTTGCTTAATAATATTGTAGTAAGAATAGTCTTTCAAAAGACACCTCCACCATACACTACTCCAAACATCTCTAGAGCATTACATAAGGTAATTATTGTGTAACTCTTTGTTTTTTCAATGATATTCATCAGTCTTTGAACAGTGCTCTTGTATTGGTACAAGGGCTGATCATAAAATACTGTGTGTTTAAATTTTTAAAAATGATTAGAGTAAAAGACATATCACCATTAATTCTACTCAGAATACTTGCCCTTGCTTCTTGCTTCAAGCTCACTCATCAGTCATGCCACTTTCTAAAGTAGTTCTGTAGTTCTTTTTCATGAGGTCTGATCAAAACATTCAGTGAATGTGGTTGCTGTTTGCCATCCAAAAGAAAGGCAGGCTCTACAAACGTTACAGTGTGTCTTTATCCACTTTATTCACCAGATATGGTACTGTGTGACTTCTGGCTCTTTCCCAAAGTGAAAATGACCTTGAAAGGCTAAAGATTTTCATCAATTTAGGATATTGGAATAATCATGACAGTGCAACCAAAGACACTTGTAAAAAAACTACAACTGCTTCACAGAGTAGCAAGAATGATGGGATAAATATGGTTGAAGTGAGGAGGAATATTTTCAGGATTCATAGCAATGTTTTTTTACTGTAAAATTTTTAGAAATGTAAACATTCATTATTTTTAGATCACACATTGTATATATGTATAATTTACTCATCTGAACATGGACTAGGCAGGTGCCTTTGGAAATTCTTGTAAGTGTTCTGTAAAATTGTTTACAATATGAAAAATACAGGTAAACTTTTCTTTTTTTATTTGATTGTTATTAGAGATGGAACCTACTGCCTTCCCACTGAGGACATCCCCAGTTTTGTTTTGTTTTGTTTTGTTTAAACTTTGAGACAGGGTCTCACTAAGTACCCAGGTTGGGCTTGACCTTTCAGTCCTCCTGCTTCAACTTTCCAGTGTGCTGGCATATATAGGTCTGTCCTTCCATGCCTGGCTGATACACTGTTGTTTTAAGCCAAAGAACATATGTATAATTTATGTCCTGAAAGTCTTAAGTGGTTTTGGAAACCATATTTTTGTTTCTTTTTATTTGACTTCTTTTCTCCTTTTTCTTTATGTGAGATTGTCTTCAAATAATATAATCTTTAATAGTATTTGCTCTCCCCATCTTTTCTCATAATTACAACTATATTACTTTTTGCATGCTGGTTAGGTTTTTAAAATTCGTTCTGGACATCTCTATCTTTCAAGAACAATGTTAAAACCATTTGCTTGGTTTTATTCTTTTTGTTTGTTTTATTCTCATTTACTCTTTTTACCTTTATATTCCGAGACGCTTTTATTATGCCTTTATTTGGGAGATTTATTCTGGGTAGGAGTTGGATAAATGGTTAGGTTTGTCTTTTAGTACTTTCATTTGTTTGTTTGGTTTTGAGATAGGATCTGGCTTTGCAGCCCAGGCCAGCCTCGTATTTACAATCCTCCTGCCTCAACCTCCAGCATGCTAGGATTATAGGCATGTACCACCATACCAGGCTATATTCTTCTTTTTTTCTTTTGGTACCAGGAATTGAACTTGGGTCCTTGTGCTTGCGAGGCAGGCAGCAGAACCATTGAGCTAATCCTTGGCCCCCAGCTATATTATTTATGTGATGCATATCTGTTATTCTTTTCTCCCCTGTATATGCCATCTGGCCACTTTAAGATTTTTCTCTTTCCTAAAAGTTTACACCAATTTGATTATGGGTGCCTTATATAACTGGCTGGCTTGCTGGCTTTTTCCTCCACTCCCCACCTCTCCTCTCCCTTCCTCTTACCGCTGCCCCCCACGCCCCTTTTCAATCCTTAGCCCAGCCAAGGCCCTCTGTATTACAACAGTTTGGATACTTAGCAAGCTTCTAATATACCAGTCTGCCAATCCAAGAAAGGCTCTCTGGAATTTAGTTATTTAGGCTTCTTGTCTCTACACTTTTCTGAGAGCTTTTAAGTGCTATAATTTTATTTATGGATAAATAACCAATGCCATCAATATTTGTTAATAAACTTCCTTTCCTCCTAAAATTAAAATATCTCCATTGTTATAGCTTGAGTTTTCTATATATATTTCTAAACTTTTTTCTTTTATCTTGTCTGTTTTGTATTTAAAACCTTTGTAGCAAGTTTTAATATTTCTAATGCAAGTTCCAACATACATCTTATTCAGAATGTTTTGAGCTTTTCATATAACTGTTAGGAACATAAATTGATTCTGTAACTTTGAGAATTAAATAAAAAATTTGTTGGGCTGGGGATTTAGCTCATCTCTCAAGTGCAAAGTCAGGGTTCCATCCCTGGTACCCAAAAAAGAATTTTTTTTTTTGTCATGATGTTGAGAGTTCCTTTACAATGCTGGGCTCATTTAGAAATGGCTTCTTTGCTTTATGCCACAGTTTATTAGCTAGATAATCTTGCTTTTTGTGTTGGGCTCTGAGTTTTGAAATTCATTCTTGCCTTGCTCTCATCATCTTGAGAGAGTTCACGACATCTGCCACTTTATTTAGCAGAGTAGAAACTAAAGCAGATACTGTGTTATTCTTGTTTTTCACCCTCATTTACCACCATAATCGTTCTCTAGTTTTGTTTATTTTTAATACCAAACCTCCAAGACACTATTGTGATGACATTAGGAAGACAGTATTATATATAAAAAGTGTTCTCTCTTCACATGAAAGAAGGGAAGATGGTTCTTTCCATAAAAGGTTATGAAAGAAAAGGGGCATGACCACCCAGCTTGGGTTAAATGAAAAGAACTGAAAATACTTAGTATTAGTGAAGATGTGAAGTACCTGGACATTTAATTTTTGATTGTACATTGTTGATGAAAGTATAATTTATGATACTTATTCTGGAAAATAGTTTGATATAGTCTGCATAAGCCTTGACATGTGTATCCTTTGCAAGTCTGCTACTGGTTATATATAAAACAGAAAAGAATGTATATGTTCATCAAAAGCCATGTATAGTTATGTTCATAGCAATTTTATTTGTAGTAGCCTTAAATTGGAAATAGCGTTCATGACCTTCAACAGTAGAATTAGGAACACAGTACTTTGTGATACGTTCATACAATTAAATAGTATCCAGCAGTGCAAAAAAGGAATTACTAATATGAAAAACAATGTGGCTGATGTTATTGATATATGGCTTAAAGGAAACACAAAAGATGATACTGATTCTATGAACTTCAAAAACATGTCAGTCTCATTTATGGTAATAGAATAATAGTTATTCTTTGGGTTAGAGATGATTACCTATGAGAAAGGAGTATGAGGGAACATGTTTTAATATTGGAAATCATTTATAATTTTCTTAAGTTATGATTACACAGCTGTTCATATTTGTAAAAATTCACACATACATTATACAAGTGAAATTTATACTTTTTAAAAGTTTATTTTATTTTTATACAGTTCCTCTGACTCTTGCCTACCACTCTTACGCAAGAAAATTCCAAATAATCCTTCTACCTGAAATGCCAACTAGAATCACATTAGAAGGCTCACAAGTTGAGAGATTTAGACTGTATAGAGATAGGACTATATCTTTTTTTTCTTAAATTCAGAGCATGATACTCTTTGCAGTCATTTTTTTTTAATATGTGTAAGCTTTTGGGGGTTTTTGTTTTGTTCTTATTAAGGTCTGTACCTTTCTCTAATTTATTCTGAGGCATTTTTAGTTGTGAACAAGCTACTCATCTATTTATGTTTTATAGTTGTTACCAGAATTAAAAAATTATTTTGTACATTTATCTTTTGTCAGTGATCTTGTCAAGTTGACTCATTTAGTGTTGACTTTAGTAGAATTAGGTTACTTGTAGCAAAAGACAATTGTCTTTCCTAGTATTTTACTAATAGTTGCATTAACTAAACACTTCAAGCTTATGTTGAATGGTTAAAGGGGCATTCTTACTCCTTTGTTTAGCTGAAGTATCTTTTAAATATTCCAAAAACAAACACATGAACATATTTTAGTCTTTTTTTGATTTTGAGTAGAATCCATCTGCCCAGTTTTCGTAGAATTTTTGAAATTAGAACTAGATAGAGAATTTTATCAGATACTTTTTTGAGACCTAATAATAAACTATTTCTTTTTGTTTTACTCTATTGAAAGGTTCAATTATTTGGTTTTCCAAGTGTGAACCATCCTTATGTTTCTGAAAAAAATGCATTTTGTTACATACGGTGTGCATTCTTTTACACACTACTAATGGATTAGGTTTTCTGACACTTAGAAAGCTTCTAAGTGAAGTTGGTTTATTTTTGTGTTATTTTTTGGACTATGGTTCCCATATTATGATTTACACTTAATTATTGAACTTCATGGGATTGGTACAGTCTTGTTTGTGTTGTGTTCTATTCTCAACAAATCTTTGGGACCCAATTATTGGCCTTTTGAAAAAAAATTTTTGCTTTTATTTGGCTACAGTTAAATAGTCGCAGGTAAGTAGTTTTCTTGTTCAAATAGAACCACAGACACATAGACCTTTTAAAAATTTATTTGCAATAATATAAAATTTTTTTGAAGGTTTCATTTTTATATTTTTTTTCTACAGTCCGTGGTGGACGACTGGATTGAATCATATAAACAAGACAGGGACATCGCACTTCTGGATTTAATCAACTTTTTTATCCAGTGTTCAGGATGTCGAGGTACAGATGTTAAAATAAATGGTGTACATTGCTCCTGTCAGTCCAGCAGTGTGACTTTTACCTCATCTGCAATAGTCATATGTTTTTCTGATAAAGAAAATAATTGGTAAATTAATTTAAAGATATCCTGTTTTTGTTCTGTTTCGGTTTTGTTGCTATAAAGTAGTAGATTTCAGTGATTTTTGAGATTTTGGAAAGAAAGCTGAAATTACCTTTATGAGTTGGGAGTTTTAGATAATAAGCTTTTATCATTTTTACTCATATTATTTGTAGTATACTTTATGGTAGGAACTGTGCTAGCTGCTAGCATTTATTTCATATTTTTTGTACTTATTTCATATTTTTGAGATATTTCATATCTCATATTCAATACATATTTCATATTTTTGTACTTATAAATACTTGAAGTTTCAGTGATTAGGACATGAGTGTCAGAATTGGGACTCTTCAGCTCATCATCAGTTGGAAAACTGTAACACATTTTGTTAATATAACATTAAATCTTATGGCTTTTTTTCCCATCTTAATAGGTAACTGCTAGATATTTTTTTTCTCTAGAATAGGTGAATCCTGACAATTATATTGCACTATGTGGGGGAAATTAGTTGGTAAATCATGATTCCCAATGAGAAGAATGATCTTTTATTGAGATCGTGGATCAAATTGATTTCTTGAAGATTTCCGTATTTATGTCAAAGGTATCACTTGCTGTATTAACATGAGTTTATCAAATATTTATAGTGGATCTCTTTGTACCAGATACTGAGCCCTGGTATACAAAGTTTATCATGGCAAATGTGCCCCATGGGAAATGTTAATACTATTTTCATTTATTTTTAAAAATTTTATTTATTTATTTATTTTTGGTTTTTTTCAGACAGGGTCTTGCTGTGTAGTTCAGGCTGATCTTGAACTCACTATGTAGCCCAGGTTGGCCTTGAACTTGCAGTGATCCTCTTGCCTCAGCCTTCTGCTTGTGGGATTACAGGCATGTGCTACCATGCCTGGCTTGTGGTTGTTGTTTTTTTTTTTTTTTTTGTACCCCGGAATCAAACTCATGACCCTGTGCTTGCGAGGCAGGCATGGTACCACTTAGCTAAATTCTTGGCCCTGTGGATTTGTTTTTTGTTTTTTGTTTTTGGTACTGTGGCTCAAACTCGGGACCTTGTACTTGCGAGGCAAGTGCTGGAACCACTGAGATAAATCCCTGGCCCTGTATGTTATTTTTCAAGGAGTCATTGTTGTAAGGAAGAAAGAGAAAAACATACAAATAGTTCAGTGAAATGCTATGATAAGAGTAGTAAGACTGGTTCCTACTTAATAGCTGCTTAATACTGCCAAGCTGTGTGCTTTTACATACATTAGCTAATTTAATCCTTTTTAAACAGTTGTATTAGGCAGTTGTGGTATTTGTTTTATAGAGCAGGAAATCAAAATTAAGATTTTAGGCAAGTATATCTGAGTTCATACAGTTAGTGCTGAAATCAAGATTTAGACTCTCATCAATAGTCTTATGTCTGTATCCACAGGACAGTATCAGAACATTGGGAAGGAACTGCTGATCCAGCCTAGGCAATGTGTGTCTGTGTCAGTGTGGGGAGAATGTAAAATAAAACAGCACCACTAAAAATTTCATCTCAGAAAGCAAACCTTAAAATGAGAAAAGGGAGGATGAGGAGAAAGGCTAAAGGTAACAGATTGTATAAGAAAGACCTTCAGGAAAGAAAGAATGGCACACTGCATGACACAGAGAGTTCTATAATGGAATCTTTGAGCAGAGAAACTGTTAGGGAGTAGCATATTAGGTTATTCAGAAATAAGTTTTTTTTACAGTGGTAAAATATGTAAGGCAAGCACTGTTGATGTACTTTACATACATTATTTCATTTGGTCAAACAGTTCTGTTAGATTGAATTTTAACTTTGAAATTGGCAGTCTTTAAAATTTTCCTTTTGAAATATATTCCCATGGCTCAAAAAAATTTTTTGTTATACACTAAAAGTCTTTAGCACTTCCGCCTTCTTATCTATCTCCATACAGGTAACATCTCTTAGCTAAATTACACAATATTGTTTGTCTTCCCATTTGTCTGTCAACATAGTCATCTCATCTATATGTAGAAACATACACTGTTTCCTATTCTATTATATAAAAGATACTGGTATATATAGAACATTCTCATTGTCTTTTAAAAAAATAATAGAATCATTACAAAGTTTTATGTGTATATATAATAGTTTATATAACTACTTTTAGATTAGCAGACTTGTATAATTTAGTCTTCCTAAATAGGTTGTTATTACAAATAATATAATGAGGATATGTGTGTTCTTCTTTATAGAAGAACGTCTATTGGTAAATGTATGTATAATTGTATTATATATTACCAAAGTACCTGCTATAGGGGTATGCTTTCTTTTATTCCCATCTGTAATGTATTAAAATGTTTCTTTTTAGCCCATTCACCAAAATAGTTATCAAATTTTTAGTCTTAATGAATGATTTTAAAATGATGTATTGATATGTTGTTATAAGTGATGTAAAATACACATAACTTGTAATGAAACATTTTAGAATGTGCAGTTAATTAGCATTTTATATATATATTTGGTACTAGGGATCAAACTCGGGACCTTGTGGTTGCGAGGCAGGCAATGGAATAGTATATTCTTAATGTGAAATTGTGTTAGTTGGGTTGCTATAATAAGTATCATCAATTCGGTAATATATAAAAAATACAAATTTAATTTTCACAGTTGTAGAGGTTGGCAGTCCAAGATCAGGATGCCAGCACGGTCTGGTTGTACTGAGGGCTTTTATCTAGAATACAGACTGCCAACTTGTTGTTGTATCCTCCCATGATGAAAAGAGGGCGAAAGAGCATTCTAGGGTACCTTTTATAAGGTCACTAATCTTCATGACCTCATTACTCCCATAGACCTCACCTTCTAATACCATTGCATTGGGCCCTAAGATATCAACATAAGAATTTTAGGAACATACATACATTTAGTTTATTGTACTACTAATAACTTCTTATCTGTTGTATCAACCTTTTAAAATCATGTCAGAATAAAACTCTCTCTTTCCATATAGTCACACCTCATTTCTTTATCCTCCATCTCTCTCCAGCCATTCATCTGCATTTTGTCCCTGTGGATTTGCCTATTTTGATCATTTTATATTTAAAAATCCATACTTCTCACAGTTTTTAAGGTTCATCCAAGTTATAGCATATATCATATTCATTCCTTTTAAAGCTGAATAAAATTTCACTGTGTGTAGATACCACAAATTTTTATCCATTCATGTGTCCATGGATATTCAAGTGGTTTCTGCATTTTTTTGCTATTGTGAATAGTACAACTATAAGAATTTACGAAAAACTCTTTCTGGTACTGAAGTTGATGATAATTGTGTTTAAACTTTCAGAAATCACCAAACTTTCCCACAATGAACCCATCATTTCATATTCCCATCAAAACTGTGTGAGGATTCTCATTTTTCCACATCCTTATAAAAATTTCATAGAGAGGGAGAGTGAGAGAGAGAGCACTGGCCAGCTAGCTATGTATTTCAGGGTAATCTTGAACTCACTGTGTAGCCCAGCAGGCTGGCCTTGAACTCATTCACTGTAATCTTCCTGCCTCAGGCCCCCATGTGCTGGTATTACAGGAGTGTGCCACCACAACCAGCATATACTTCTTATTTTATACCTTTTGGATGTTAAACATTCTAGTGGTTTGTGAACTGATATTGCATTATAATTTTAATTTGTGTTTCCTTAATCTTTTCATCTGGTGACTGTATAATTTCATCAAAGGATTGTGCATTCAAGCAAATTCTTTGCTTAATTTAAAATTAGATTATGCATGTTTTGATTGATGGTTTATAAAACTTGTAACTGATTTATCCTATTTTCTAGTTATCAGTTTCTTTCTTTTTTTTGTTCCGGGGATCAAAGTCAGGACCTTGTGCTTGGGAGGCAGGTGGCAGCACCACTGAGCTAAATCCCCAGCCCATCATCACTTTCTTAATGATGTCTTTGATGCACACAAGGTTAACATTTTATGAGATCTAACATCTATTCTTTTTCTTTTGCTCATAAATTATGCTATCAAATCTAAGGCTCCATTGCCAAATGCAAGATTATGAAGATACTCCTAGATTTTATTTCAGTGTTTTCATAGTTGTTAATCATTGGTTAATTTTGATACGTAGGATAATTGTAATTTGCATTTCTCTTATGAATGAGTTTTGAATGACATTTTAATTTCTTTTTCTATAATTTGTCTCTTCCTATCCCTTGACCATTTTCTTTTGACTGTCTTAATGGTTCCTGAAGTGGATCTTACAGCATTTTGATTAAAGAAGCATAGATGAATACTTTCTAAATATGATTATCTAGAAAGTATACTGCTTTTCACATCTGTGGAATATAACAAAAGTCAAGATACAGACCTAATTCTTATGAGATTATAGTAAGTAGATCTTAAAGAAAACATGTTTACTTTATAAGAATAGATTTTATAAATGACAACTACACTTAAAAGTTGTTTTTTTTTTAAGCTGTTAGGTAAAATTATAGCAGGAAAACCAAACATTACCACATTATTGGTTGAAATACAAATTGGTACAGGTAGCTCTTATATTGAAAGATTTGATAGTATCTCCCAAAACTATACACGAATTTATGTGTTGACCTCACCGTCCTCTTTCTGGGATTTTGCCATGAAGATAAACCTCAGTCAATAAGAAAATAAGCACACATAGTTACTCAATGCAGTATTATTTATAACTGGAAAATATTGACAACAACTTAAATGCTCATATATAGTATAGTGATTAAATAGACTATGATATAGCTACACAGCAGAGTTTTATGTCACTGAAAAAAATGAGGAACATTTCTGTTAACTTATTACATGGAGATTTCCAGGATTTAAGGATTTTGTGAAGTGCAAAAAACACCTAAAATGTTAAAAAAAAATACATACATA